ATATATTATGTTAAAAGACCTCCCGATAGATTCAGAAACTTATGCCTGATATCAATCCTTATCCGTAAAGAAACTGGTTTTGTATAAAACAAATAACTTTCAACAAATGGACAAAATTCCACTGTTCTCCGCCTTGCATTCTGCAGTACCGTAGTGTGGATACGTTGGTTACATGGCAAGCTTTTCAACCATAAGTTATATGTAGTGATGGTTTGAACCTAAGTGACAGTCTTTCTCTGTCGGGGGCTTACCAGACAATTTTAGTCGAAAAAAAGTCTATCAGTGTTTTTCCCATTTCTTCCAGCATTAGACTAGAAGGGATTTATCGACAAAAGTTTAACGATTTGAGCATTTCCCTTATGAACCCCAACCGGATTTAACGTGGACGATACAAGCGAAATATTCGTTCGGGTTTAACATAACATCATATGAGTTTGCGAAGAAAGGAGCAAAAGCTTTCCTTGTCTATTTATGTGCGCCAGTGCTTCTCTAAAATGTATTTAAGGTGAACACAGGATTTTACTACAGTGACATCATCTTAAGGTTATAAGGTCATCACCTTTCACACCCACATGTGGTAACGTAAAAAACTTGTTTTGTTGGAGAAAAGTAAGAGGGGAACATTGTGTGATAAACATTGATCAGACCCAAAAAACACTGGTTTTAAAGGTATTCGTTCAGAATCACGATCAAGTTTGTTCACAGTTTTGGAAGACCCGCATTGGCGTCACTCTCAATACCACATTCGTTGACACCTCGTTTAATCTTGAAATAACCACCGTCACCCCAGTCAGTGTTCCACGAATTAGCAATCAGCCAGTAGTCTACGCCGTTCTCAACTCCCCAGCCAACCAACCGAACCGCATGACCGCCCAGTAGTCCACCTGCCACGTGCTTATACACTCCACTTGAATAGCTCGGGAAGTCCGCGTACACCTCAAAGTCAACTTCCAGTGGTCCGTGCGTCATTAACTCACGCATGATTGCCTCCTGGTCTGAATGAATGCTGTACGCCCTTGAACCTGAATTTACAAAGGTTGTTGGAACAAACTTATGGGGCTATGGTCAGAGTAACCTACAGTAATTGTATTCTAAAATGGAAGACGTGGTAATTATGAACGCAAAAGTCAAGGATACAGGTTAAAATTGAAAAAAAAACTTTTCTGGTGCACTGCAATTACTGTATATAAGTGAATCCCGGTGTGCGGGTGAAAACGGAAGTTTTGTTTATCTCTATTCCACCGTGCATGTGACGTCATTTTTGGCTTCCAACTCATACTTGCAAACGAAATTTCGTCCTGTCAGTAAAACCAACCCATGCTTAAAATCTGAGAACCTCTGCACAGCTGTTTCACCCTTATTGGGGATAATCGACACTGTACATCACAAGAACACCAGAGAGTTTCGAACCAGTCACCTTCCGACCGATGGTGGAACGATGAACCATTCGGTCAAACAGAGCTTAACAGCAATGTGCTTACCAATTAATTGGCGAATATCTCAACTTGTAAGTAGCTTGAGAGACCAAACGATGCCGACCCATAAAATTCTAGTCACGAACAATGAAGATGTCATGAATGAAACTAAAGTATGTGCTATTGGGGAAGACACCCGCGCTCCAAATCATGAAGTCTGTATGGACTACGGGCCACAAATACTAAACTAGAAAAAGCTGCCTTCATAAATATCCCATGGGATGTCAGCATGTCATCCGAGATGTTTTAAAGCCTATGCAGATGATCCTTCGCATGCCAGGCAACAGTCAGTTTTACTCTCATCCCCAGTGAATCAGAAGTATACCCAATCTCGAAAAGTGCATACCAATTTGGTTTTCATGGGATTTGGATAAGTCTCCGTGGAAAACCAAATTGATGAGTACATTTGTCGAGTTTCGTGTGATTTGGATTCAAGTAGGACATAAGGTTGAGGAAATATCTGAGACTGCGCCTACTTGATGAGCTCTAAGAAGTGCGAAAACGGTCGTGGGTTGCCGAGTTTCCGGTAATATTACGAGTAGTGTGTTACGTCTATACTCAGTTTCAGCAGGGTTGGCGCAGTGTTTCACAAAGCGCTTCGTATCCTATGATTGGTTCGTAATTGGTTTCGCTCTTCAGAAGGACAAACCTTTGGTCGATCCCTTGGAGTGGTCTTCCAAGAGGGTGTGGCTATACTTCCACACAAAATGAGGTGGTATCGATTTCAGGGTTTTTATGATAAATCAATATCTTTCATGGCTCTGTATCCAATAAGTGACACCATCAGCTCTTTCAGTCAAGCCACTAAGAATTCTGGAGTCTCATTTAATCACGTGGAAAACAGACAAGTATGTGTATATAAAATGTCAAACCCAAAATTACTATAATACAAGTAATTGCTTATGTCCCACCAATGCGGACATGACCAAATTTCAATATCTTTTTGTATTTTGGAGGTGAACTCCTTTCGGACTTACTCATGAAGTAGACCACATGCAAAATTAAATGGCTCACAGGATCGAACCAATTAGTGTTGATTTATTCAACTGTGTAAACGTTTTCAGCACTGCCATTGGCCAATTGATCTAATATACCCATAAGTACAACAATCTTCAGTAATATGTAAAATGTCACAAGGTTTTAACCCGCTAGATACTCCTTTTCCCGTGAACCACTGTGTTCCATACTACCTTATTTGTGACGGTAACTTGTTGAGCTGAAAATCGACTGCAGTCATACCCGAGGACGAATCATAATGTTTCAACTCACCGTACCACTTGTCTTCTTCGTATGACTTCGAATAGTCTGGCTGACACGTTCTCACACACTCGGGTGTTTCAGGATCTCCGGCGCAAGGTTTTCGCGGACCGACAACATGATGTTCGCATGGAGGAAAAGAGTAAGGTCGACAGGTGCCCGTCGTATTGTACAAGCCTTATTTGTGACGGTAACTTGTTGAGCTGAAAATCGACTGCAGTCATACCCGAGGACGAATCATAATGTTTCAACTCACCGTACCACTTGTCTTCTTCGTATGACTTCGAATAGTCTGGCTGACACGTTCTCACACACTCGGGTGTTTCAGGATCTCCGGCGCAAGGTTTTCGCGGACCGACAACATGATGTTCGCATGGAGGGAAATAGTAAGGTCGACAGGTGTCCCGTCGTATTTACAAGCCACCCGTCACTAGTCCTTTTCGGGCCCAGTGGTTCCATGCTTGTGCGGGATAACCACCTTGGCAACCCATGCCACAATCAGTACAACAATCAACTAAGTCTTCTGCACTGATACGAGGCTGATGTTTACCTCCGGATGCGATGCAAATACGATCAGAAATAGCTTCCGCAGCTCCGAAAGCCTGAAACGGAGCGGAAAAGGTGACATTTCCTATGAAGCCAGAGTCAACGAACGTCACTGTAACGCTGAAATTTGGTTTGAATCACATCAATCATTGTTTTGCAATGGCTTGCTCTCATCATTAAACGTGATTTGTCCGAAACACGCAGAATCTCAATGAGCTAATTCAATTATCTATAATTACTGCGGTTTTTTGGACTCTTTGATATTAAAACTAAAACGAGTTATGATGCTCGATACGCAACTTAGTCTTCTTGATGTTTTGGAATGGTGCCTATTTCAACAATCGACAACTAACCAATAATGAGGACTTGATCGTTAGTTTTGTTGACATGAATCAGTCTATGCTGCAATGATGCTTCATCATCATCCATCTATATGTATCTGCGTATGATGTTCAGCTTCTTCGGTGAATTCATCAAGGATAACCAAAGGATTACGATAGTTTACCCAACACGATCCGCAGTTTGACTGATCACGAATTTCTGATATTGAACTGCAATGTGGCCACATCTCACGTGCATCAAATGATTCTGGTAGCTCTTGTTCTCGTATGGTGGATATCAAACAACGTTTTTCCAGGCGAAATCCGTTTGGGTCGGGAAGAGTTCCAAGCACTCGGCGCACATCAGATGGCGTTTTGAAACGCGAGTTTTTCGCTGCCTTCCATGTGGTATTGGCCTGTGAAATTCAATTTGAAAGAATACAGCAATTAGTTGGGAAACATTTCAAAATATTTTTGATCATGGACTAAACGGTGGTAGACTAGCTTCAATGAACTTTATCCTGCCTTTCGAAGGACTTGGCATCTCAGAATTAGTTATGTAGTATATGTGAAGTTCTAACAAGTCTATACCCAAAGCGTATTTCCCAGTTAAGGCGAAAAATTAACTAAGCGGAGCGATGACTGATCCATCGGTCATCATCATCAAGGACAGCATGACATCAGTGTTCAACACGGATGCTTCGCCAAGTCATCTGTCAAAACCAAACTGGTGTGCAAATGAAAGTATCTGACGAATTTCAACCAATTTGTGTCCAATCGGAAATAAATGATTGACGGAAACCTTGGCAGTGCGCCTACCTGATGAACCCCAAAAATTGTAAACCGATTGTGGGCTTCGAACAACCGTATGAGTAGTGTCCAGGCAAAATTACTTGTTGTTTAAGATATACTAAAAAGGGGTCTTAGTCATTAAATAACCACGTCGTCGTAGAATTTCTAAGCTTACTGATGATTCTGTATTGTAATTTTATTCAAGTCCGCAAAAACATGGTACAACAAGACGTCAGTGTTTTATACTCGTCAGCTTATCATGGAAGGTGATACTTAATTCAGCTGTGATGTTGAATTGGTGACAGTGAGTGGGTGTTCGTCCGGCTATCAAGCGTGGAAAAAATCGCCTGTTCGAATGAGATAGCTCAAGTGCGTCCAGCGTGCACTGACAGAGTAGTGAGAACACGCTCGCGTCACATGTCTCATGCATAGGTGTTAGTTCATAAACCGGCCAGTAATATTCACTGTTGGTGAGATCACCTGGGAACTCCAATCCAGTGATTCCATCCTTTGGTGTGGACTCTGCAGGATACTTGCAGCAAGACACAGGAAAAATCATTAAATTAAATTGAATGAATTTGAATTCCATAACTCACGTAACCACCTACAACTTACGTGCACATCGAATGCAGCGGGTGGCGCACTAGCAGCTCGCAATTAGCGAATCTGACGTGCGGAGTACTACATAAGTAGGTCTGAAGGTAGACAAACCCACAACTTTTCTGTATTGTTCGAGATAAATTTCTTCCATGGTTCTCCATGAACTACGGTTCGTTTTTGGCTCAGAGCGGTTTACAACTCACTGATGACTTTTGGAATTTCATGTTATCTAGGTCCGTTGCACTACCTTTGAAACCCCAGACTGTGTAAATAAACAATGGAAGCAGCTGCTCTAATGACACAAGAACGGGCGCATATAGTAACATTCCCCTCTTGACCTGGTTAGAAGTTTCAGTGAAGTTGTTCCCTTCATGGCCCTATTATAGATGCGAATATGAGGAGATTTGGGTTTTTGTGTGGAGATTTCGTCCTGTAAGTAAAGCCAGTCTATACTGAAAAGCCGAGAAACAATGTACAGCTATTCCATCCTTATTGGAAATCATCATCAGTGCGCATCTCACAAAACCCTGGGGAGTCTGGAACCCGCAAACTCCCGGCCAGTAGTTTGAACACTTAACCGTTCGCCCGTGAGCGGCTGACCAGCAGTGTGATTAACTCGAACTTAGACAAAATATAGCGCCACTCATCCTTCAATCATGGGATTCACATCATGCGGTCACACGTGTTGACTGGCTTCTCGAGCAACGACTTCTCAGACCGAAGTTCCACTCATCAGGTGATATTTATTATTCCACTGAGCTACTTATAAATTGTTGGTAGTGCGAGGATATTTGTCTTTAGGTGTGAAGATTTCGTCCTGTAAGTGAAGCCAATCTATGCTGAAAAGCAGCTGATCAGCCGCTCATGGCCGAACGTTTGGGTGTTCAAACTACTAGCCGGGAGGTCGCGGGTTCGAGACTCTCTGGAGTTTCGTGAGATGCGCACTGCTGATGATTCCCAATAAGGATGAAATAGCTGTACAGTGCTTCTTGGTTTTTCAGCATACATTGACTCACTTACAGGACGAAATCTTCACAGATGCGAACATCTTTGAAAATGTCTACTGGATGAGCACATGGAAACACACATTTCGGGCTCTTTCTCTCTCTCTCTCTATGTGTGTTCATCTATATCGTGATATTTGCGAATTATACCAGAAGTATGGCGTGGAGTCATGGACGAGAATTTCTTCTGTCTGATACCCGAACTTTCAGAGATTCAGGTTGGTCGAATAGGCAATAGGAATTTTGCCTGCATTTAGTGCACAGGAGATGAAATTGGTTGTCCATAACGTTAGATGATTTAGAATTGATCATGGAGATATCCTGGAAAATGATGGCCGGCTGGCTGTTGTACAGTTTACCCAGCGAAAAAAGTGCCTGACCTTATTTAGTTTGGATGGAACTTCCGGAGAAGTCAACCTGAACTTTTCCATTGTTCCACTATTTGAATAACAGGTAAACGATGCGAGTGGCATCACTCGGCGCTACAGTGGAGGTTACATTTGAATACAGCCCGTGGCTGGTCACACTGGCATTCACGAACGAAAGTAGGATAAAGTCTCTCGTTTTCAACAAGCGGTAATTTCGGAATTTTTTTCAATACCCTCTGCCGAAATGTTCTTAAGTTTCACAAAACTTTGCCAAAGGTTAAATCGTAACCAAAAGCGAAACGTTAGCATTAGAGCGAGGACTCGTCCACCTAGTATGACCAAGGCAGAACTACATAGCATCTTCCTATCCAACTCTGTCACTCGTTAAGCCTAATGAGCTAGTTAGTCAATGCAGCCAGTTCCCCGCAGGAGACTTTACATTTGATTTCACCTCCTACGGCTTGTGCAGTGTTTTGCTTTTAAGCGTGCTTCCCCAGTGCTGCTACTCTATCTTCTAAATGCTATGAACACTGATCTCTGTTCCCGCACTGAATAATCGTTTCTCCAAGCTCGTTCAAGCCACTATTTGTCTTACATCTCTGGTAGGTTTACCAGACCAAACCGTAGTTTCCCGTACACATACATCATAGACGATAGCGCTTAATAATATAACCACATATCGTCTTAATTCATCTACTTAACAAGATAGATAAAATATTACTGGAACTTCACTTCCTGAGTGCTCGAGTCATCGGGAATTGGGGTGATTCGCGATCATGATTCTCACCTCTGTGGATCACCTAATACCCACCAATGGATGCAGATGTTGGTTTCGAAATGCACCAAACCGCGTAGACACACTTTTAATGTCTGTCGTGTGAGGCGCGGCACTGACAAATTATTCAAATCCCGGCTAGACATGAAGAATGGTGTGAGTTTTCATAAAGGCAACTACTCATAAGGTTGCTGAAAACTCTTCGACAGCCCACGACCAGTTTCGCCCTTCTTGGGGCTCATCAGGTAGACGCAGTCCCCAAGTTTCCGTCAACCTTATGTTCTCGAAAACCGTTCAATTTGGGTTCAAGTAGATCATAAGGTTGGCGGAAACTCTGGGATTGCGCCTACCTGATGAGCCCCAAGAAGGGTGAAACCGGTCGTGGGTTGTCGAAGAGTTTTCAGCAACCTTGTGAGTAGTTTCGTTTATGAAAATATACCGCGATATCTCGAATATTGCTCCAACTGAATCATGAGGTGGCCTGTGTGCAGCACATTCAGTCGTAGAATATCATAAATGAGGGATTCAGTTGAGTCTCTCGTGAAAACCAAATTGATCTGCAAATGAGTGTATTTCTCGAAAATAGTCTGAGTTATTATTGTTGGAATGTCCCATTTATGTGCAAGAGGTGTGTTCGATAATAGCCTCATTCCCTCATCGGCGTTAACATTTCGAATCAGATTTTGTGTTGAACGAAAGGAAACACTTAGTTGCAATTGCTTATTTTTATCTACATCGCCAAGACCACAAATAGTGCGGATCATTTCTCGGCTGTGATGAAGACTTGTGACCACTCCTAACAACAAGCAAAATGTGTACAGCGGTTCGTGATTTTTGGATAGCTCTCGGAATGGACAATCCTCGTGAATTCATAAAACATCCATACTACCCAGGAGGTATTCAGTAGCCTCATGAACTCAGGAAAATTGTGCTATTAATCGGTCATCAACTTGCCACAACCTGATGAGATGTGTTGAGTACTGACCTTTATTCGGTGTTTCATAAATTGCTTAGTGACTACACACAAAAATCCATTCTTTTTATCCCCGTCCCCTTACTTAACAAGGAAAGCTGTCTAGATCAGGCGGCCCAAGTGTTGAAACCGCAGTTTAGTAGTTTTCTGTTGTGAGGGACAGAGTAACCGCTATCAGCCCATATACTAACATTTCCGCTTTCTCGTCGATCAGAAAGGCAGGCTCAAAACATAAGCCGTTTTTGGGAAAACGAAATCAAGGATTCGGTAGCCGCCGGCAAGATAGGTACAAAAGACGAGAAACATCCGAGGAGATTGCAAAGCGATAAAGGGATTCGCTGCTCATTCCAATGAGTTATTATTGTTGGAATGTCCCATTTATGTGCAAGAGGTGTGTTCGATAATAGCCTCATTCCCTCATCGGCGTTAACATTTCGAATCAGATTTTGTGTTGAACGAAAGGAAACACTTAGTTGCAATTGCTTATTTTTATCTACATCGCCAAGACCACAAATAGTGCGGATCATTTCTCGGCTGTGATGAAGACTTGTGACCACTCCTAACAACAAGCAAAATGTGTACAGCGGTTCGTGATTTTTGGATAGCTCTCGGAATGGACAATCCTCGTGAATTCATAAAACATCCATACTACCCAGGAGGTATTCAGTAGCCTCATGAACTCAGGAAAATTGTGCTATTAATCGGTCATCAACTTGCCACAACCTGATGAGATGTGTTGAGTACTGACCTTTATTCGGTGTTTCATAAATTGCTTAGTGACTACACACAAAAATCCATTCTTTTTATCCCCGTCCCCTTACTTAACAAGGAAAGCTGTCTAGATCAGGCGGCCCAAGTGTTGAAACCGCAGTTTAGTAGTTTTCTGTTGTGAGGGACAGAGTAACCGCTATCAGCCCATATACTAACATTTCCGCTTTCTCGTCGATCAGAAAGGCAGGCTCAAAACATAAGCCGTTTTTGGGAAAACGAAATCAAGGATTCGGTAGCCGCCGGCAAGATAGGTACAAAAGACGAGAAACATCCGAGGAGATTGCAAAGCGATAAAGGGATTCGCTGCTCATTCCAACCGTTACTCTGATGTTCTTCATTTTGATGATGTTCCAAAGTCATTGTCACGAACATGACATACGATTCATTTTAGGCTCTATACTGCTTAGTAATGTTCAACCTCACTGATATACCAATAGCAGAATGGTGAAACCAGTTAATTACTTTCCTTCTCCGAGTAGCTTGCATTTGTTTAGATTTTTTTTAATGAGTAGCCAGAAGTAGACCTAAGCATATACTGATGTCATCATTTCAATGCAACGTTCATATTGTGCATACCAGGTGATTATGTCTAGCGGGCGTGTTGCCCACGCAAGTTTTCCTTATTTCGCCCCTCGACACCCTGATACCTCTGGTCTTATGACAGAAGATCAAACTTCTTTGCAACCAACGATGTTACACTGAAGGTCATTGGGGAAAAATATTGACTTCTGAGGTCCTCATGCTTGAGGTTAGTGTGTTGGCGGTAGGTTGGCCCGTCAATAGTTTCTGATCGGTCGATTGCAAACCTGGCGTTAAGTCGTAGTACTCGTCAGAAGTTTAGTGCATAGCCACTAAAGTGAGTGCTGTTAGACCTAAATTGCGGTAGGCTGTACAAACAAGGTAACGGAAGGGCTCATGAGTTACCACCTATCAGTTATCATTGACAAAGCAACTCATTTTCAGCCAATAGCTCTCAGACTTTAGTTAGCTTATTATGTGAATAGTTAGTTGGTTATTTAGTATGTAATCGTATCTCTAACTAGGTACTACGTACACAATGCAAGGCACTCCACCTTACCCCCGCTCGGTGTAGACGACGCGATTAAATGGAGATTGTAAAGTAAGTTTACGGAAGAGCTACCACTGAAAGAAAGAAGGCCTTTGCTGTGGAGTTATCTATTAGATAGATGCCAACTGAGTAGTTACAGACTAGCGGACAGGGAATCGAAACTCTCATGTGCATCTTGTTTACAAAAATGGATTATCCATCCTCTATTTGAAAGCGCCTTCCTTAACTTTTACTGGATATTCATTGACTGCTGCTCAAATCCAAGCAAATGTTGCACAACGATTCCACAAATTTCGTAATGGATCTCACTTTTCAAGAGACGCAAAGCGGATTTACGAGAGAGCATCCTACTCGCATGCCACTCCCATCAGTAGTACCACTGTCACACTACTAGTTCATCCAATAGGGTTGTCACTTCTGGTCCCACCCTACAAGGAAGGCTTTAGGATCTGTTGATGGAATGGACTGTGTTGCGGTGGCGTGGGGTTGAGCAGAATTTCAAACAGTTTCTCAAAATTGACGGAACTCACTAAGCAACTGGACGAAGAAAAAGTTGGCTTACGGACTAAGCTCCAGCACATGGATGGTCGATATATGCCGTTGACTCTTTCCATCCCCGGGAAGTGCAAAAATCTCGTCAAACAAAAATCTGTTGTTACTCAAAATTTCGTCATCCGACACACGTTTGAAGCCAAGAAAGCTTGGTGGCTGTCTGAAGCTCTCCGTCAGTCTGGTGGATGGTTTACAGGCCTCCGGACCTACTCGAGCTCGCTGTGAAGATCCGTATTTTGTTATTTTCTTCTAAAATAGCATGGTTTATCATTTTTCAGAGCAATGATAGACTGATATTGCCTTCACCAGCGGTAGCTGGATGACTCAGTGCCGGTGAACAAGTTGGCTAGTAAATTTCCATAACTCCAGCATGGTGATAAGCTGGCGTTCATTGAGGTGGGGTTAGGCTGTTCACCCAGATTTGTTATCAGTATCGCTTAGTGCATTTCATCGTATTCAATAACGACTTGGTTTAGTGATTCTTAATCCCTGACCTAAGTATCTTCTTAAGCGCTTCTAAGGTTTACTCTTCTTGTAGGAAGATAAGAGTGAAAAGTGATTACTACAGACAAAGTTACTCTAGTTAGAAAATCTAACAAAACAAACCATTTGAAGAAGGTTTTACCTGCAGTTTCTATGGATGGACTTCCCAGCAAGTGACAAGCTAGATTGCACTTTGCATTAAAAGGAAAAATACCATGCTGGCAACAGATAGACGAGCCTCCGCCCTGCCTGCCCCAAGGATGGACAAGTTATATTCACTCGGCCACTAGCGGCTCAAGGAACATCTCATATGAATCTACCTGAAGAGCCACTGCAAAGGGCGGTTTCAGACACTCTGACCTAATGAAAGTTAAAGACTACTGAAAGAGCCCGGTCCAAGAGAGTAACTATCATCGAAATCCCAGCAAGGTTCTTTGGAAGCATAGGTGGGACTTATAATGTTAACTTGGTTGGTCTACAATCTATGAGGGGAAACCTTCAGAAAGTCTGTCTGTCTTCAGTTTCTTGATCCGCTTAATTCAACAAAATATCAGAACTGGTTTGTTTATTGCTATGCCCTATTGAATCACTGCTCATCACTGCACAAATCAAAAGCAAAGCATCAACTACATGTGCAGGAATGCGTCATGCGATATCCCCACCTGATAAAAGGACTTCTACTTCTGTTCTATATGAACGTTTGCTCAGACAAACAGAACTGAAGAGACGGACCATTTGTAACAGGAAGCGGTAGCAATTTTCTATCCTCATCTCTTTGTATACGCTCTTCTCAAAAGGAGTCCATATACAGATATATATATATATATATCCTATGTTACTAGGAGATTTTAGAAACCCACATAGTACCAGTTATCAGTAAAAAGACTAGCGTGCACTATGAGCGAATCTGATTCTATTGGCAGAAGCGTCGAATAGCATTCATAAAAAGAATACTCACTTGCTTTTAGAGATACGAGATTACCAGGACCAATAAGGATGAAATAAGTGATTTTAGTATATCATTGTTCTAGGCAGTTAGGTGGCTAATCAATAAAGAAGTATATTCGAACAGCAACCCTCTGGACCCATCTCAAGCAAGATGATCCTAGCTGAACTCCTTTTTACATTCATAAATTAATCAAACATGTTGTTCCAGGGACACCAATAAAGTAGTCTTGATTATACTTCAAATCGAAAGACAATACTGATTAGGGAATTTGAAAACAACTTTTTCCATTAGTTGAATGACTTTTACTGAGGTTGGTGAGGAAGGCGCGCGAAGTTTGTTTTCCTAATTATCCCAACCTCCCCAGCCGGGAGTACATAAAGTAATCAGTCTCGAACCGGCAGTTGTCTAAAAGTTTACTTAGGCTGTCAACTACACTGAATAGCAAAAAACGGAATATCTCGGTTGATGGATGGTAGTTCCGAAAATGAATGCAACAAAAAAAAGCCCACATTTGATTGCTTTCGCTTACCTTATGGTTGATGTAATGGATAATTTGATCGGAAAGCGGTTCAAAAGATGGAATATAGTCTGCTCCGAACGACTCGGCACAAAGCAGGACGTAGATCAACAGCGTCCTAATCGAATCCATGCTTGTGCCCATTATGAAGTTGGAACTAGCAGCTGACCAAGTTATATGGCATAAAGTTAAACAAATGCTTGACCGATTGTTTTAAACGCACGTGATCACCACACTGGTATTGTTGTGCACAAACTTGTGCTGTGCTGCTGAACTATCGAGTCGAATCGCTGCTGTGCTTATCTGTGTTTATAGCGAAGTTCAATTTGAGGTGGGTGTACATGTGTTTACACATATTTCATTGGTGGTTGGACAATTAACTATCTGGTCATGCTATCTACAAAGTCGACGTTAAACCTTTCGAACGGAAACTAGAGAGTGGTCGCAAATTCACATTTGACTGATGGAACAGTAAGAACTATGCAGGCCAAATAAGTTGACACATCGCGCCACGGAAGGCTGTTCGACCAGTAAACAGCACTTTCGAGTTGCACACTCACTGGTCTAGGCTGATCATAGTGGTGCTTGTATTGGAGTTTATAGTTTCACATAGGTTTGGTAAACAATCGCTGGAGTTTATCTCAGAAAGATGTGGTTCGTGACTCCGTGGCAATTGGAAAGCCTACTGAAACCAGCCACCACCTTTTAAAAAGTCCAAAACAATGTAGTGGAATAAGATGTTTTTAGCTGACATTTCGGTTGCCATGAACAAACTTCCTCAAGTATTTCTACAATTCCAACAGATTTTGCTTTTTTTTAATCAGGTCGTTTTTGGAACCAGACGTGACCTTTTACCCGGTTTCGGGACACTTATTACTGTAGGAGGAGAGTAGCAAAGTCCTTTGTGGTCAAGAGTGTATATAAGCCAATAACACTAGGATATATGAGCAGGTTTGGCGTTGTTGTGGAAGTTTCAGCTTTTTTCCTGGCTGCGTACTTTAGGTGAACCCTACACCAAAAGATCACTGCCACGATAGACAATGTGCGCTTTCAATTAACGGCCCTTAGTGCATCCAACACAGCCCTAACATGTTCTTCAGTTGATCATCCTGACTCAGGTTACTATGTAATATCGACCAACTGCAAGAGTCATGAGCAAGAGTGAATACAGATTCCGTTTCCTAGATCTTTCAGTTAATGATAAGACGTGGTGAACTAGACCGTTGAATCTGAAGCCACCTCACATCACACATTATGCGGAAATGGCTGATACGACAGGCTCTCGACCGGTTTAGTAAGGCGGGAGTTTTGGAAACATTATGATGGATGATGGAGCGATAGTTACATAGGCCTGAATAAAAGGATAATCGCAAAAAGCTATCCGGGGGCTGGATCTCCAGGATGGGAAATGTTCGAAACGACAGTTACTTCACTGGATAATCTGGGGACTAGCGCAAGTGAAGCTAACCAGAGTTTCTGTATTCGGCAGGCGTCCCATATAGACGAAATGAAGAACTATCCCGTGCTTTAGTTGAAATCATATTCTGGGCAACTACCTCATAACCTATGTAGACAACAATAAAAACCATAGAACTGCCCCTTCAGCCGATTTACCTTTAGAGCTGGTTCATTCCGCATGTATATACTTGGATCTGGTATGCTCTTACCTCACATTTGCCAGGGGGGCTGAAAGTTTGATGCTTGTCAGCACCACAAGCAGACTTGTTGTATGAGTTCCACATTGCGTCAGATGACGAAGTCGTCCATATGTGTAAATGCCATAATTTGAAATAACTTGGAAGACGTTAAAGTTCAATGTTTTATGATTACGACAAAAGCACACACGATTTTGACGCAAACATTCGTCGCGCCGCCAGTTTATGCACGATGACATAAGTGAGATAAAGGAGGCTCACATTTTCCCCTACACTTTCTTGGGTAACCAGTGCACATGCATTGTGAATCTCCCACACCACTTAAGCTGCCGGTGCAATAGCTTTTCCATTAGAGTTCCCTTCGCAAACCAGCTACGCGTTGGGAAAATTAACGAAGAGCGCGAGTGAGTGAGCTCTTTCCGCTAGGTTTTCTTTCGTTATATAAGCTGCCTTGATTGCCCTTAGACAACCGGAGAGATATTTCAAGACAACTCGAATTCTTGAAACACAGTGTGGTTTGCTGAATGCTGGTGCTCGAATAGTTCGCGATTGTTTATCTGATCGTCTACCCGTTGACCGCGCACACTTCAAGCCCCGTAAGAGTCCCAGTTGCGTAACGTATAAACATTTTTCTTCATAAGATAAACAAGGACAAGAATTGAAAGACATTACCGGAACACCTGTCTACTTTTATTTCCCCGACGGCGTCTGTTTATTTATTCATTTGTCGACGGCGACTACAGTTTGTCCATATCTGGTTTGATGGAAGATTCTGTCTTAAACAATGCACAGTGGATATTTGTGAAGTAATTGTTTGCAAAGGAGCCTTACTCATCCCACGTTGCTCAAACGCTTTGTGTTCACGTGAGTATTTAGTGCAAACCCAGCCAGAGGTTCAGTTGATGGAGTCATTTAAACAGTGAGCATTCATGGGGTTTGCTGACCAATCGATTTCCTCGAAAATCTTGTCGACTTTTGGGTGGTGAGGGCTGAACTACCAGAAGGATGGGGTGCATTAGTACATTTTACATGCCTTAACGTCCGTTTCTGTTAAATGGCGAGGTATTTTATCCCCGCACTTTCCGCGCAAACTGTATCAAAACGCGCCGAGATTTTAAGAATAGCCACAAGTGTGGTTAGCGACATTTACCATAATCCCTGTGACAGATTTCCAAAGTAAATTTTGTTCCTTCAACAGTCCGCTTCTGTATTTATTTACGCGACCTCTCAGAAAAAGGCCACAATTTTTAAGCGATCACCAGGAGCTTGGGTCACTGTTCTAAAGCAAGTAGAATGGTGGTTCTTGAGGGCAGCAAGAGGACCACTAAAGAGCTGGTAGATAACGGTTGTCAAAAACGCTGAACAACCCCAGAAAGCCTAACAAAGAACCGCACACTGAAAGCCTAAAAGTCCATCGCGCAGTAAAGTTACATAATCACATTAAAACTTGAGTAGATGGCCACCCATTTTCTGGGCAGGATAATAGTGCCTCGGTCCAAACTAGCATTTATACTCATAGCAGTTTTTTCATATTCCAGAAAAACTGTGCATTTAAAACACAGGATTCCATCTATTTGTCGTATCAGTAGAAGATTGAACACAAGTGTCGCAAGAGGCTAGCATTTTTTCAGCCTCCTGAGTGCATGATGCAGATCTTGCAAACTGTGCATAAACTCTAATACCCAGTTGAACTGACAGGATTGTGACAGTAAAAGCAACTGACCAGGGTTCTGGTTTCGCGATAACTGATCTTAATGATAAAAACCGTTCCAGTAACGCCTCCCCGATTTCCAACTGTCATGCCACCCAAAAGAAGTACAAGAGTTGATGCACTGCAAACCTAGACAGCAGTAGTCTAGATTCCAGGGATGGATTTGAACCACAAAACTTCCGGTCAGGAAGGTCAAGCCTTAGCCAATGTCGGAAAGTCAAGACTAGGGATGAAGGCAAGTATTGGTTAACAGACCCCAATTTGACCTCCGATATACTGGAGACATCTGCGCCGATTTTTGTTTACTTATGTAATAACTCCATTGGTCAATTCTTCCACGACGTTTTACTGTCAACAGTTTACTGGACACCCTCTGGAAGCAGAAATCAAGTGAACTAAATATAAGTAAGCGAACAACACCAAACTGGTCTCCGGTTTGAAAACAGTGCTATGAAAGCAAAAACTGATGCGACCCCGACCCCAACAACAATCACTGGATTGAAATATTTCGTCAGATTTTCACCAGTGTTTCAGTTCAGCTTCCTGCATCGCGCTCTCGAGTTTGACATGTTGGCGCATTTCCTCCATCGGCTTTCGTTCCAAAGCGATCGATTGTTCACTGTGTGCTACCAGGTCAAGTCGGACTGCGCGACAAGTGTTTAACGAGAACAAGCGATTTTCGCAGCGGCCCATTATATGCATTGAATCCTAATGCATGCGAATGTCATTGTACCTCCACCCACCATGTGACTGACATCAGGTGAGCTGATAAGACAGACATAATTGTGTTTAGGCGTAAATTTCTTTCTACACAAGTATGTATTTCTCTGACTACTCATACTGTGCTCAGAAAAAAGTCCGAAAATGACCTTCCTTAGCAAGTCAGTAGGTGAACACTAAAATGTTCAGCCACGAGCGGCTGAACAGTAGTCTGATTAACTCTCACCTAACACCGCTCGTCCTCCAACCATTGAAACCACATCGGATGGTCACGTATTGACGTGCTTCTTGATTGACGAATTCTCAGATGGAAGTTGCACTCATTTTGTGAAATTATGTGGCCAATAAAAATTAAAAAAAACTTTGTCATCTTTCTTTTGATTCACTACGTTTACTTACCCAATTAAATTCTGCGTTTAATATGAGACATCCAGTACACCTTTTTGATTAGCTCACAGCTTTGCCATACGATAGTGATTGATTAAAAGTGAGTAAAGTGATAGTTCTCGAAGGCTTGAAGTCTCGGATTTTCCAGGAGCACAATTTGAAATAAGTTTATGGAGCCAGTGCGCCGGAAGAATGCATTCTGATCAGCTCGAAATGTCACTGGGCATATTCATCGAAATTCAAGATGGCGAAATTTCCCCAGTTCTCAAACAGCCCTGCGTTGGGAAGTTGAATCTTTGTGCCTCATTTTTATTAGGGGAAAATATTCTGCTACCTAAGCACTTAGTTGTTTAAGTCCCCGTGAGAAAACTTGTCTAAGGATACAGTTTTCTCAAAAAAATTTCTGAACTGAATAAAGAATATAGTTCTCAGTAGAGTCTTAATCAAGTGGAATTTGTGTCCACAGGATGAGGCTCCACTCAGGCTGAAATTAGAGTATCAAGAATAATCCTTTTATTAGTTTTCCGCCTCTATATAATTCAGGATAGTGTTTCGTCTGGTCCTATTTAACTTGGCGTAAGACTTTATGAGCCCACGTTGCAATATAAAAATCTTCCTTCGATAGCTTCCATTTCAGTAGTTCATGTTTCTCAGCAGTTACGAATGACTTTGCAGCCGACTATGTCATGTATGCATACCATTTGACAAGCTTCTCTAATTTCAGGAGAACTCAGCTTTTTGTGTCTGCTGCCAACTCGGAAATCAAACTGCTACAACTGCATCTTCGCTTGAA